CCCTGCATTTTGTTGACTCTTTACTTACCAGTGCTGTTTCATGCTATTTAACTTCTCTCGCATATTGTAATACATCTTTGAAGTTTGGCTCCTCAGTTCATCTCCAGGCTTTTCAGCTGTCTCCAGTTCTTCAATATTTGCTATGGCCAACATAGATGATCTATTCAAGGTATTTGATTCCTTTGAACAACTCAAAAGCATCTGCTAAAATTGAATAGAAACCATTATTGCCGTCTAAACGCAAATCTGAACCGTTACGAGATGCCAGTATGTACCCCTCGATCGTCTTTTCGCCCCAATTTTATGAACATTCGAATAGGGCTGAGTCTCAAACCATTGAAAATGATTTTCTCTCAGGCACACTTTATAAAAGCGCGAAGGTGGATGCCAACGGAGATGTGAGCAGTAATCGGGCGACTGCCGTGGAGGACGGTTTTGACGAGCAAGATGAAGCTGGTCCTGAACTCCCACCAGACTTCAACCCAGACGAGGATATCCCGGATGACGAGGAAGGGCGATTTTTCGGTGGTGGCATATCGCGGGACACGGCTGGTGCAATGGACTTCGTTGAAAAACTAGACCAAGGAGATCCTGGGGTGAGCATAACAAAATCTGACTTTTTGTCGCTGCTTATTAGAATACGCCCAGAGATAACAAGCTAATATGCACATTCCGGCCTGAATTATAGCCGGAGAAAATCGACTCCGCTTGGTTACGACGATTGGCAGTTAACTTTGAGAAAAGGATATCTAAGAATGCAGAACTTCGCGCTAAGTTTGAGAATGAACCCCAAAAGTAGGTGTACTTCATTTGCCGCTTCCATTCCGTCACGTTGCACGCTTATATGCCAATAAAACATCGGTCAGATTTATGGCGTCCGAAGCAGACCTCGATGCAGATATCAAATCACTTTCGATCCTGTCGGAGCACCCAGATCTTTATGAAGAATTTGCAAGTTTGGGTTGCGTTGGTTCTCTGGTTTCATTATTGTCGCACGAAAATACGGATATAGCTATTGACGCGATCGAGATTCTTGGGGAATTGACTGATGAAGACGTTGAAGCTGAGCAGGAAGAGTGGGATTTTTTGGTCACTGCTATGGTAAGGCACACTTGATGATTTCGCATATGCCGCTGTTTACTGATAAATATATATCTATTTTAAGGTGGACGGGGATGTTATTGCCCTCCTGAGTCAAAATCTTGCGCGACTTGATGAGGACAACGATGCGGACAGAGCCGGAGTTTATCATGTCATGAGTAGGTTTTAATAACCCTACAACAAGAGCTTCCAAAATTTAACCCTTGTCCCATAGGCGTTCTTGAGAACCTCGCATCCCAATTGCCCATTGCCGAGAAAATCGGACAAGATACCGACATGATAGCCTGGCTGAAAAATCGAATCCAGAAGAAGGAAAAACCAGTGAGCCAGAATAAGCAGTTCGCGGCCGAGATTCTAGCAATCTTGGTTCAATCATCCGCCGAAAACC